AATTATCCAGCAAAATGTCAACAGGGCTGTGGTTGACAAACCCCAAGCTAGATGTTGGCAATTGGAGGTACATAAATGTAGATGAAGTGACAGAGAGTCCTCTGACAGAGAAGGTGATATTTAGGCCAAGTTTTGACTAGTGAGGTAACATTTAAGTCATATTTTGGCTAGTGCTGCTGACAGGCAGCAAATGGCATTGGTGTGGGATGGTCCCAGGCAGAGGTGGTTTGACAACAACAAATAACAATGAAACATTCCTTACATGTGCATATACGAGTGACTCCGGCAATCACAAGGACTTTGATATTTTACTTCATAAATTTCCTCCTTGTTTGGATTTTTGAGAACAGCTTTGTGTGTGTGTGTGTGTGTGTGTGTGTGTGTGTGTGTGTGATTAAAAAATAAGGAAGAAAAAAGCACATAGGCTGAAAGATTTTGGGAAGAGATAGCCAGGTATTCAGGAGGCCCTGGCATGCTAACCTGCACTATGAGGGTAGGCTCAACCCTAGGCCTCCTTCCACATCTATTGACCCCTTACAAAAGAAGGGCAGGACACTTTTGCAGCAACATGGATGGAGCTGGAAAAGATCATGCTTAGTGAAATAAGTCAGAAAGAAAGGAAAAATACTGGATGGTTTCACTCATAGCAGGAGTATAATGGACCAGGTGAGAAAATAACAATAATAATGAAGTTAGTTATATACCAGAGACATTTTATGGGGGTGGAGTGGGGAATGGAATCAAAAACAGTGGGGGGAAGGAAATGTGCTGGACTATGGTGATGGCATATGAGTGGTTTGGTGATGGGAAGCCCACGGGGATTACAACTGAGATGAAAAAAATGCACAAAATGATGTAAAAATAAAATATTTTTTTTTTTAAAAAAGGCAGGACAGGGCCCTCCCTGGTGGCGCAGCGGGTTAAAGCACAGCACTGAGAAGCTTAAGCCACTTCCGCATGAGTTCGATCCCTGCCCCGGAGGAGATTCACATGGCGTGGCAGACCTCTCCTGACCCGCCAGCTGCTCCCTTCAGCAGTGTACTTCGTAGATCTGCCTGTTCTGCTCCCCACTCTGTCTCTGGTGAATCCTCTCACCCTCCGCATCTCTGGCCTGTACCCCAGTTCTGTATGAATGAATAAATAAATCTTTAAAAAAAAAAAAAACTACTTTAAAAAAAAAAAAGGCAGGACAGTTGATTTAGTTGATTTAGACTCAGATAATTTACATCCAGTTTAGCTTTGTTATATTTGGGTATGGTATTTAAGTTACTTGAAATAACTTATAGTTTGAATATTAAATGAGGCAATTTAAGTAAGTTCCATAAACTGGCAAGCACAATACAGATACATGATGTTGAGAATAAATGGAGTAAAGACTGTGGTCGACTGATCATTTTTTCCTGTCCCTTGATTCCAAATTCCCTCTAGGTAAAGAAAAAAGAGGGAAAAGAAGGACTGGGAAGGGAGGTGAGGGTACAAGAAAGGTGATTATAAACACAGGTCGTGGTACCAGTCACATTACTTATGTAACTAAGAAGAGAATAATCCTGGTTGATAAAATCACCACAAATGGTCTTAGCCTAGTTCCTGACCCTTGAAAAGACAATGGTCAGCTTCTGCTTAAGCAGGTCCAGACCCCCAGCTGGAGATGCAAAAAGATGGCTGCAGAACCCTGGTGCAGGGTTTGGAGCTAGCAGCCTGCATATTTTATAAAAATATCTGTCCCCAGACACAAGAAGCAAAAGGGATCCAATGACTGTGTGAGTCACCATCATTTCTCCACCTAGGACAGTAGTCATGCTTCCTCATCAATAGCTGCTAAGTAAGTGAATAACACAAATCTTCTCCAATCACTTGGTGGATCTGGTAGCAATAAATAAATAAATAACTGCATATATGACAAGACTCTCTGGCTTATTTGTCTCCCTAAATGTTTATTTGAGGTTTTCCTTTTGAAGGGTTTGCAGGCTGTGAAAAGTAACTTACACAACTCTGTTTCTTTTCCTGTCCTTGAGGCAGCTTCAGAAGATAAGCCACCAAATAATTGGAACGAAGTGTGCCTGAAGGGGGAAAAAAAAAGTAATGGTGAAAAGGTACGTCACAGCTTTCTCAAGCACCAAAGCATCAGCTCACTTTTACTAAGTTTTCCACTTTAATTATCACTCATATGAAGTCAGCAAACAACATACAGCAAATGTGGACCTATATAGCTTAACAGTGGGTAAATCTTAAAAATCAATGAATCACTTTTACTGAAAGCCATGCCTGGAACATTAAGAGATTGACAGAGAGAAAACTAAACCTTGTTTTTCCACCTTGAGAAAAGCAAATAAGCAAAAAAAAATCACAAGCAGTTGCTGGTTTTATCGAGCCCCTGCTCTTTCGGGCTGTTTTCCTTGCCTGTGTTGTTAGGCTGAATCCAAGCACTTCCTTCCCAGAATGCACCAACAATCCAAAGTTCCAAAGGAGTTTGGTACCAACCTTGAGAGTGGATAAGGGGACATGAACCCTGGAAGCTAACACACAGAATTGTGCCGGTGCTTTTCTTCGGAGCATCTCTCCCGCTTTTAATGACTGCTTGGATATGATTCGCTCGTATGGGAAAGGTAAGCACCGGCGTCCATCAAGCCAGCAAGAGTTTAAAGTTCGGGGTTTTTTCTCCTCCCAATTTGAAAGAGGCTTTTAATTCTCTGCGCTCCTCCCTATTGATCTGTAAAGTTTGTTTTCTGGCTACAAATTCTCTTCAACTCTCGGTTTCCACCTCGGTTGCCTGAGAATCGCAGTCATGAGCCAAGTTCACTTAGAACAAGAAAAAAAAATACCGTCCAGTCCATACAGAGAGCCACCGCGTGGCCTAGAATAACCACGCGGAAGAAGGAAACAGTTTTGTCTCGCGCTGCTGAAAGCGGACAGGGGGAGGGTTTAGTTATACCAAAGGCGTGTTTTGTTGAGTGGCTTCGAAAGCGCCCCGGCAGCCGAAGCGGCTTTCGAAGTTAGCAAACAAAGCGTCTCCCCAGTAACCGCCCGGGACCAGACGAGGCTCCTGCCACTCAAGCCCGAGTCGCGGCGTCCGCCTGCCCCCGGCTCCTCCTCCCTGCGTCTCTTCTCCCTCCTCTCGCGTACCCCAACGGATGTGAGCCACCAATCCCAGCAACAAACAACCCTTCAAATGCAAGAACCCGGAGGCCTCCCAACCGGCGGCCCCCACCTCCTCCCCGCCCCACATCTGTCCCGCACTCGCGCGCAGCAGCTGATTCATCTCCAGCCAGGCCGGGGGAAGGAACTGCGCTCCAGCAAGTTGCAGGGTAGCTTCCAGGCGGGTGGTTCCCCCTCCCCCTTCGGGACCATGTTTTCCTTCTTTGCCATTTTAGTTGTGTGTTCTCTTAGGTGTCGAGCAGTTGGCAAGCCACAGGAGAAAAAGAAAAAAAAAAATCGTAAGGTTGCTGCCTTTTTAGAGTGACGCCTTTCCCCTTGTTTATTCATTTTAAGCCCTGTGATTGGAAAAACCACCCAAGCTTTGTAAACTCTGGCCTTAATTCACTGTCGAGGCGGGGTGGGGTGGGGGGGATCTTTGGGGAGTGTGAGTAGATGGGAGTCTGGCGTTATTTTCAATGTAATTTTAAAACAGAGGCTCTAAAGTCTAGTCAGTTGTCGTTCGGCTGCCTTCATCCTCGGGCATAACCTTATTTCTACGGAGCTTCTGTTGGGTTCTCGATTGAGGTTACAAAACAAAAACAGCACAAAGCCAAAGCCGAAACTGGAGGTGGACTGGGGCACTGACGTCTCTACTAGGCTTATTTACGTTTGGGTTTGTGTGTGTGCTTAAGTGATGGGAAAGTCTTATTGTGCCAAGTGACAGTTTCTTTAATTCAAACAACGGTACAGACACAAACAAAAACTGGACCTCAAGGAGGGCCCCTTCTTGAAAGCGGCCAGACAGTATCTGGTGTTTTAAAAGGTTAATTTTAATAAAAAAATTCCTACTAACTCAACCAAAATAAATCAACAGGAACATGTGTTTACCTAATGGCTAGGTTCTGTTTGAAATACCGAATGGGGAAAAGGGGTCCCCTAGCAGAGTAAGTTCTAAAAGTTGACGATTTACCCAAACAAGTGAGCAGCCTGGAGTGGTCTCCCCTTTTCCATCGAGGCGACTGGGGGCCAGGGCTAGGGGTGTCCGGTCGAGTCGCCTCGGAGCTGGCGCGCCCCGGGCCGTCCACGGCTGAGACTTTTAAAGAGCATGTGAGCATGACAAGTGTCTGTCCGCTACGTGTTAGATTTCGAAAGTGCCTAGCAATCCAGTCCGGAACTCGCAGCTTTAGCCCGGGGGAACAGACTCTCGCCCGGGGAGGCTGAATCTCCTCGCGCCCATTCCTCCCAACCTCTTACGTTTTAAGGAAGAGCCGAGGGAGAAAAAGGGTGCGACTCGCCGAGCCCGTGTGTCAGTGGCAGCAGCGTTTTCTGGAAGAAGTTGGTTCTTGTCGGGAATACTTTTCCTACGGTGCCCCGCCCCTTGAATCACCGGCGGCTGACTTCTGCGGCCGGAGCCGGGACCTTGGAGTTTGGGGCAGCTGTCAAAAACCTAGAGGGGAGCGTTTTCTACCCTGGGGTAAAGAAGGGGAAGGCGGGGGCTTCCCCACCCCACCCCCATCTGTTGTAATTTCCTAACCAAACACACTCTCACCAGACCTGGGAAGAAAGGCCCAAAGGAGGAACCCGGGGAGCAGATCTGGCGCGGCCGTCACCCAACAAGGGATGCGGGCTGGGTGCGCGCAGCTGGGAGGAAGGATCGGGTTGCGCCGCTCGGCCGTCCCCACGAGGGACGGGTGACAGCGGCCCGGGAGGCGCAGGGAGAGGCGGCGCGGTGCGGCGCTCGGTGCTGTCCTCGCCGACTGGAAGGTGCGGGGGAGGGGCGGAGGAGCGGCTGGGCGGGCGGGGGACTGGGCGGGCTGCTGGGGGCGGAGGCAAGACCTCCTGTACCTTCCCTCCTCGCCTCTCTCACTCTGACAGCGCGGAGGTGCGCCGAGCAGGAGCCGGGAACAAAGGAGCGGAGTGGGGAGGGCAGGGGAGCGGAGCGAGTTGGGCTAGGGTGAGCCCCCGGCCGGCTGCCAGAAGATCCTGGCCGGAGGAAGGCCAAGTGTCACTGAAATCCACCCAAGGAGCGGACGCCCGGGGTCCTAGAGCCTTGTTTAGCAATAACGGCTGGAGCACGTCCTACAAGTTACGGGAGTGTTCGCTGGGAAGGAGAACAGTCGTTGGCCCCCTACGCTCCGGCTCCTGGTCCCTGGAAGACCCCAGCACTGCCTAGCGCTGGGAGGGGAAATCCAGAATGAAAAGCAAGAAAGGTAAGGGCCGACGGGGTGTGCTCATCGTGGGCGCGAGTCCGAGGGAAATGTGCTCCCTGGGCCACGCTGGGCTTGGGGTGAGAGTGACTTGCTGGACTTTTCCGCCCGGGACTCTCCGATTAGAGCCTTAGCGGTTCTTTGTTGAGATTGAGGCTGAAATGGCAGTTGCCGTTTTCCTTCTAGACTCAGCACGAGTGGCTGTTATGGGGAGACTACGGGCCTTTCCACGCTGCTGGCACGTTGTCAAGAAACAAGCTCACTGCCTTGTTTGTGCGCCTCCAAGTTTCATTGTCTCAGCCGACACCCCAAGCTCTGCCGAGCCGCCGCGTGGCTTCTCAGTTTTTCTGGCGGGCGGGGAAGATGGGCTCGGGTCGGACGGACCTGGGACCCACTTTTGCCGGGTCGGAGCCCGAAGCGGCGGGGACCGTGGGGCTGCTAACTCCTTTGTCTGAAAGTTGGGCTCCAGGGCACCCACTCCCTCCGGGCTGGGCCTGGGCACTCTTCTAGGGATGGGCTGTTTTCACTATTGAAGGAATGCGAATTTGGGCCCCGAATCCCTTTCGGGTGTCGATCGTTTGGAAAGCTAGGCTTTAAATATTCCCAGCCCCTAAGTTTTCCCACGATAAAATTTGGGGCAAGATGAGGAGTTAGGACTGAGGGCGAGCAGCTTTAGCGGCGTGCTGCTGAATGAGTCCAAGTGTGACAAGCAGGCTTGGTTGTAAGTGCAAAGAGTGAGTCTGTCATTGTTTCCACAAAGCGTTCTGGAAGCGTTACAACTGAAACTTGCCGTCAGTCAGATTTAAAAACAAAGTACACAGAGGGGGGAAAAAAAAGCCCAAACCACGAAAGGTCAAAGAATGTGAACTCCCCTTTTAAAGTTAACTTTTGAGTACCTGACTAAGAGGTACACCGGTCGCCCGGCGGTGAGCTCGAGTTGGACTTTCTGTTGTGATTTGTGTGGAGTGGCTCAAAACAGAAGTTAATCGCTCTGGGAAGCCAGCGCGGGGGTGGGGTGGGGGCGCTGTTGCGCATGCCCGGGGGCGCCCCGGAGTTTTCTAACTACACATTCTTTCAGACTCGTCGGGCGAACGCAGTTGAAACAGACTAGTTAGTGGGGGGGGGGGGGCTAGTTTCCAACCCAAGGAGCCTCCCTAGGCTACGCGTTCTCTTTGGAGTTCTGCTGGAGTTAGTAGCCAACTTTGCATCACGCGATCTTCCCGTGTGCTTTCCCAGCCAGAGTAAAAGTAAACGAAAAACTCCGGGCATCCGTAGTTCGTGGTAGAACTCCGCGTGTCCCCAAGAGACGGAGTGGAACGTGGGGGTTTAGACAGTTTGGTCATTTAACTGAGCTCGGCGAGAAGACGTCCACGGGGACTCTGGAGGACTGTCAACTCGGGAAGTATGACAGGTCGGGATCCTTACTGGAAGGCGTTCCCGCCCGCAGTGAAACCGTCAGGAATTCGTTGGGCTGGGGGGGAGGGGGCTGTTTTTGAACGGTGGTTCTTGAGACCCGAAACTACGCCTGGGCTTCCGCCCGGGCCCGGCCACCCACAGGGTCGGGCTTCTGGTAGGGGAGGCTTAACCTCCCGATCTCCCGGTCACCTGCACTCTGACATTTTCCGATCTTCCCACCCTGGCCCTGGGATCCCAACCCCCTGTCCGTACCCTGTAGTCTAGCGTGCAGCCTGCGCGATTGCGCCGGCTTCTTTCTCCCCAAGCACTTTGGGATCCCCTCCCCCCCCATCCAGTTGCCCCAACCGCCCCAGCGGGATCTGTGGGAATCTTCGGGGTCGTCGCGCCAGTTCCTGCTGCCCGGCGCCGACTCAAGGAGACAGTGAAAGGTGACGTGTTGGAAGGGAAACTTTGCGACGGGTTCAGAACTCGTGCGGGGGACCTGAGACTGCTGAGATCGTCGGGGGTTCTTTCTCTTTTTAAGTTTTCCTGGCAAACTCTATGGAGGTGGGCAGATCCGGCCCCCCGCCGCCCGAATGTTTAGACTCACGGCCCCCGGTCTAGTTTCTTGTGACCCGAAACTCTCAAGTCCCCCTGGTTGTGCTGACTCGTACTGTTAGTCTGAACGACCGACTTCAGTTGAGGCTGAGGAACTCACCAGAACAAAAGCGCCTCGGTCGTCCTCCCTGCGGCTCCTCCCTCTCCTGGTCTCCTCCTTGGTCCTGCTTCCCCCACCCCCTCCCTAGCGCTACCGCCCGTGGGAGGGTCGTCCGCTCTGAGGGCCCTGGAAGAGGGCTGTCCCGCTGCATTTACGAAGATGGACTGTTGAATGTTTTATGAAAGTCAGAACATTTCAGTTTTCTTGAAAACAAAAGCCCCTTAAGCTCAGTTGCAGATCCGGGCTTGGTAAGACTGGCTTGTGATAATTGTGTTTCGTCACAGAAAGTTGAGAAGGCCGAACGACCAACTAACCCCCTCCAACTGGGTGGGGGGTAGAAGGGGGGGTAAATGTGTGTGTGTGTGTGTGTGTGTGTGTGTGTAAAAAGAAAAACCCTCCTCAGATCGCTTTAAAACAAGCAGGAAGGAATTCTGTTGAGAAAAACACCCCCTGTTTTCTGCGCCTAGTTTCTGACACTAGTTCTTGGTTTAGCGTTGTTGCTCTGTGACTGAGTTCCGCCAAGCGCACGGTGGCCGGGGTGTGAAATAGATTCCTGTGAGTTAAACTGAGATCTTCTGGTCAGGAAACATGTTTGGTTAGGTTTGCTTTTCCTTAATTGTATACTTTTTTCCCTTAGCGTACTTTTGTTTTTCTAGATCTTTTTCTAGAATTTCAAAACAGCTAACTTGACCGGCACTATCTCTCTGGTCTTCATTCACACTACACACACCTCCACCCCCAATTCCTATTCAGGAAAGAAGAGCTTGCTTTTTATAGAGCTGTGGGGGACCCACGGGCTCTCTTGTGGCTTTACAAACATTTCCTTGTATGTGGATGGAGTAAAAAAGGCTTGTGATTCCCCTCTTCCCCACGCCCCCATCACATTTTTAATCGTGTAAGCAAAGCAAAAACGTTTGGAAATAAGGCCTAACTGGGAAACTTTTCAAAAGCTCTGTTACAATAGGAAATGAGTAACGTGGAAAAGTCTTTTTGTTTTTCCAAGTTGCCATAATCCGGAGGGAGCGTTTTAATGAAAACAGTCCTGACAGCAGCAAACGTGGTTTGCTGCAGTGAAATAGCTGGTGTGGCCAAGGAACTCAAGTCTTCACTTCCTGTTACTTCAGCTTTTGTGCACATATTGGAAATGTTTGTTAAAGGTCCTGAGGCCTGGCACTCATTTATTTAAATGAGCTGAGAGCGTAGTTGAGTCGCATTGCAGTTTGATATGTTGCTTAACTGAAATCTGCTTTTTGTGTCACTAACCCTTTCTGAAAAATCAGGCGTCTGGTCAAACTCTAAACAGATCAAAGGGCGGCTTCCGGGTTTTGTTTTTTTTCCCCCTTCAAACTCTTGTTATTCCCAACTTAGTTGGGAATTCACTGTTCATTGTGCAAAATTTTCACACTTTTTCTAGATTCAGAAAAGGGAGGAGAATAATAGCCTTGAAGAAAGTCTGGCTTTTCAGGTTTAACAGTTTAAACAAATTGCTCTATTCAAATTTGCTTTAGTCATTCAATTACTTGACACAAAAAGTTAGATTCCTTTAATTATTAAAGAAATGTAAAGCAGGAACTCAATTATAAATTCTTAAGATTGTTACTGTCTTCACCCAAACTTCAGCATGGGGGGGGGGGGTTGTCATTTTCTCCACCGTGAAATCACTTTCAGTTTTCAAGTATACTTTTTTTTTTTTTTTTAAACAGCTTAATGAAATTTTCCGGAAGGGAAAGATCAAATACGTGGTGGTTAAAACTTAAGATTCTTATGTAGTTTATCGATGGCTGTTCCGCCTTGAACCAAAGTGAATCTGCCAGATCATCCTCCTCTTTTGTTAGAACTTGCTTTACTTTGTCTTTGGAAGGTTGGATCTTTTCAGAAGACACTCCCTCCAGCACCTTCTGCCCCCTGCAGCCCAAAACTAAATATATGTCACCAAGTAAAGTCAGGCTTAATTAACTGGTGAGATGTGTTATCAACAAATCTTTAAATGAGTAGTTCTTCAAACTTCATTGTGTTAATGTTTTTAAAGGAATAGGTTTTTAAAAGAATCTTTAAAATACAGTGGATGGTCTATCACAATGAGAAGTAATTCTATTTTTATTCCTTATCGGGATAAACCAGCTAGTTAGGGTTGCATCAACATCACTAAGAATGTATACCTTTAAATTTCACGTTAACTTTTATTTCCTTTACATAAAAGTACTGCTGCTGTGTAAACATGGAGTAGCTTGTAATTCTTTTTTTTTTTTTTTTTTAATTCTGGGTTGCCTTTTAAAAAGTATGTTTCCTTTATTCAGTTGCCTGTATAGTTTTGCAAGGAGAAAGGATTCATTACATTGTTATTTAAATTTTTAAAGATCAAAATTATGTTTAAATGTCTTTAGGGGTCAGGTCTGAATTTTTATGGAACCTAGACTGATTTAAATATTCTGACTTGTGAATTCTTAAAATTTCTAGTAGGATTAAAGTACTTACAGACAAAAGAGATTTCCTCTGGGACTTGCATTTTTAGTTCCCTTTGTCATGTAATAACTTAAACCTGAATTCTGTTTATTGCTTTTTTCTAGGTTCACATTCAACTGGCAGTTGAAACTAGGGAAATTTTAAGGTTTATGGAGTGTTAGATATCTTTGGACCTCTGACTAAAGTACTGATAGTAGAAAAATAGTTTTCTGTAATGAAACTAAAAACTTCAGTGGTTTATCTTTAGAATACTGGCCGGGTTAAGTGTGTAATTTCCCCTCCTTTTATCAGTGAGGGAAATTATATACTTATCTTTCCCTTTATTCCAAATATTCATTGAAGAAGGAAGAATAGCACTTAAAATATACGTTAGGGTACTCATTAGATTGCTTTTTCCTAGTTAGCCATGACCTTACAGAGAAGGGTGTTGACATCCCACTACTGCAGCACCTTCCCTGTTTGGCATGTGGCAAGCAACTCACTTAGGGTGCAGCGCTGTCTTCTCTGCTAGATTTTGCTGAGCATCATTCAAAAGGAATGTGAGAGGTTAACTCTTAGGGAAAGTGGGTAAGAAAGGGCATCTGACAGTTGGTTAAGAACCTAGCCTGTGCAGCTAGTGAAATTACTCTTGAGAACTTTCCATGTCCTCTGGCATTCAGGACAAAACACGTTGGTCCTTCACCCGGATTCTCAGTGGCCTCGAAAATAGGGTTGTGCTGAATAAAGGTGGCCGATGGCTTACTCTGTCCTTTCCTTTATCCTAGGTGTTGTTGCTGCATCTGGCAGTGAAACTGAGGATGATGACAGCATGGACATCCCCCTCGACCTTTCCTCCTCTTCTTGCTCAGGCAAGAGAAGGCGGAGAGGCAATCTGCCTAAGGAATCAGTTCAAATTCTCCGTGATTGGCTGTATGAGCATCGCTACAACGCCTATCCCTCAGAGCAAGAAAAAGCATTACTATCCCAGCAAACACACCTATCTACACTACAGGTAAGGGAGAAAGAGCACGTGGTACATGCACACAGGTTTTTGGTTTTTTTTTCCCCATCGTCATTTTATAGCATTCCTGTAGGGTAAGTCATTAAACACCTCCCCACTCAAAAAATTTCTTTTTTTGGTAAACTTTCTAGTGCTGAAAGCTACTAAGTGGCTATTTAGAGAAATAGGAATTCTTGACGGCCCTCTGTCAAATAGCATTTCCTTTAATGCCCAATAAAGCCTTTCTTTATGCAACAAACATACAAAGAAGGCTAAATCTTACTCTATTGCCCAGGAAACTGGTTTGATATTTAAACAAGGATAGACTTCAGTGAGGTAATTCATGTTATGTCTGTTGACACAGTCATTTGAACTAAGAAAAATCAGTAACTGGGAGGAGTGGCTTTTTTCATACAGGAAAGGTTTTCCTGTAGTTGATTAACTTAAAGTGGGGGCAGTGGGTAATAGGTTAATGTGGGGAAAGTTAAAAGGTAAGCCCCCCTCTCTAAAATAATTTTCAGACATTTGAGAATTTATGCTCTTTTCTTCCTGAAAAGGCTCAGGGGTGAGGAGACAAAGAAGGGAATTTGCATTAGAAGAGGAGGAGGGAGGTTTATGACAGGAAGCAGTTCACTTGGCTGGGCGCAAATACATTGAAATAACTTTGTAAGTTCCGATAAGCCTTTTCATGCCTTCATTAGTGCAAAGAGACATCAATTAGGCACCCTGTAGAAGGTCCTCAGAATTCATGTTTGCTTGGTGTTAAAGCACACCCATATGATTTCAGGTTTGTAACTGGTTCATCAACGCCCGCCGCAGGCTCCTCCCTGACATGCTGAGAAAGGATGGCAAAGATCCAAATCAGTTCACAATTTCCCGCCGTGGGGCCAAGATTTCTGAAGTGAGTTCTGTGGAGTCAGCAATGGGCATCAAAAACTTCATGCCAGCTCTTGAGGAAAACCCATTTCATTCCTGTACAGCTGGACCCAACCCAGCCATAGGGAGGCCACTGTCCCCTAAGTCATCATCCCCAGGATCAATTTTGCCTCGTCCATCTGTGATCTGCCATACCACTGTGACTACATTGAAAGATGTACCTTTTTCTCTCTGCCAGCCAGTTGGTGTGGGACAGAACACAGATATGCAGCAGGTAGCAGCCAACAACTTTACAGACACCTCTCTCATGTACCCAGAGGACACATGTAAATCTGGACCAAGTACAAATACACAAAGTGGTCTTTTCAACACTCCTCCTCCTACTCCACCGGACCTCAACCAGGATTTTAGTGGATTTCAGCTTCTAGTGGATGTTGCACTCAAACGGGCTGCAGAGATGGAGCTTCAGGCAAAACTTACAGCTTAACCTTTTTTTCAAGCAAAACAGTTCTCAAAAGTTTTGTTATGATTGCCGGGGTGATGGCAAGAAATGAATTGCATTATTTTATATATTTTTTTATTAATATTTGCACATGGGATTGCTAAAATAAAGCTTCCTGTTACTGAAATGTCTTCAATGGAATACAGTCATTCCAAGAACTATAAACTCAAAAGCTACTGTAGAAACAAAGGGTTTTCTTTTTTAAATGTTTCTTAGTAGATTATTCATAATGTGAGTTGGTTCCCAAGATTATGTGATTTTTTTTTTCATCCCTTCCCCTTTTTTGTTGGTTTTTTTTTTTCAGACTGTGCAATACTTTTAGAGAACATATAGCATCTTATTCATTCCCGTGTGGAACAGGATGCCCACATACTGTCTAATAAATTTCGATGTTTTTCAAGCAAGTATGAATCTAGTTGATTGAAATGCCTTTTTTCATGACATAATAAAGTATTTTCTTTAAAAATTACAGAAATGCAGAGTATTTTGTGAAGGGAGGCAGGAATATAGCACCCCATGAGCAGGAAGTTGGGGGTGGGGTGGAGTGAGTTAGGGGGAGTTTCACCAACTCTTTGAAAGAACTGTGGACAACAAGCCAGTATATATAAACAGGATGTGTGATATTTATGCTTGATAGGCATAGCTGGCCCTTAAATCTTTACTTAAAACTACATGACAAATTAAAATGAATCATTTTATCAGTGGTTAGCTAACCATTAACTCCTTGGAAGACATGGTCAGGATTGAACAGAAAACTTTGGAAGCACCTGACTGGCTTAAGTTTTCAGGATTAAACAATCAAATGATCTCTTCATATTGCCCCCCCCCTTTCATATTAACCTTTAAAAAGAATGTTTGTTCAGTAGATTAGTAAGGCCTTTGCATTCAAATAGAGTATTTTTTATGGAAAGCATAACATCTAAAAAGACTTTAAAAGTGATTGAAGTAATGGGGTTCTGGTTCAGACTCTAAAAACATCTTAAAAGACTTCATAAAGTGATTGAAGTAATGGGGTTCTGGTTCAGTACCATGGGACTGTTGATTAATTAAGTTTATTTTCTACTAAGGTCACATATTGTAAAAAAGGGCGCTACGCACAAGTGGAATTTGGTGGGGTAGACAATTGTGTATGAAGCCACGGTGGCCAGGAGGGTGTTCCTTTCACTTGAACAGATTTGTCACATGCCACAAAACCATTCTTTGTAGTCAAGCTTAGTTTGGGGTTTCTTTGTTACTATTGTCCTGTTCTTTCCAGCTCTGCTTCAGCTATGAATTGTCTAAGCTTGATGAGGGAGAAGCATAACTTCAAAAAGTATTAAAAATGTAGAAACTTTGTACCAAATTTATCTAATTTTGAAACCCTATTTAGAAAGAATCCATATGACAAGGACTTTTGGTGAGTGAATGAAAAACTGACTAGAACAACCAACAGGTGAGGAATAAGATGTTCCTCACCTGAGGGGAGGGGACCTGAAAGAATAACCCTGTGTGCTGGTCTCTCATCAAAGGATCATAGAGAGGTAAAACCAATGAAAAAAATATGAGGAGCAAGGAATGTATGTGGAGCAAAATAAATAAAATTGAAATAAGCAAAGGTGATCAAGAATCATTCCTTGCTCCAGTAGCATTACCAAAGGCCAGTATTCTTTGAGTTGTAGTTAAGGATGCCTGAGAAGCTTCCCTTATTAGGACTTTTTATGAATCATACTAGAAAGGGGAGAAACGTCCAGCGATTTAAAAAAAAAAAATACCAAGGGTCAACTCAAAGGCATAAAAGATCATTTCTAATTGATTTTGTTTTATTGTATTTACTTATTTTTGCCCTTTAGCGGTTTATGTAGGCCCTGCTTGAAATGAAAGTGTGTAATAAATGTACACCAGCTTTTAAAGGTGGGCATATGTAAAAAACTTCATATTGAAGCCAATTAGGAATGATTTCAATGCTTAGTGTTTACATAGTATTTTTTTCCATTTGCTTACTTGTTTGTATGTTTATGTGTGTGTTTAAAGTTCATATATTTTCCACAACAATGATAGGCTCTTGCTTTTGTTTGATCTAACAGTCTTTCCTTTTTACTCTGTTTAGTTGGAAAATATTTAATGTTACTGCTATATTTGGAGTCAGTTTACCATTTGAGTTTTTTTCTCCCTTTGTTCTTTTCATACCTTCTTTTGGGTTAGTATTTTGTTTTAAATTTGGTATTGGCTTATAAGATTTTTAATGGTATATATCTTTAATGTATGATAGCCTAATTAGGTTAATACACTTCATACTAAATATATATCCTCGCATCAATATAGTTCCACTCACTCTCCTGTCTCTTGGTTTTTTAGATATAACTACATACGTGGTTAATCGAACAGTACAATGTCATATTTAATTCAGGTATATGTTCTTTTTTTAAAAACAGAAGAGAACATATGTGTATAATCTTTTATATTTGCTAAATATTTACCATTTCCAGTGTTTTTATTTTTGTGAATCCATATGATGTTTTCATTTCTCTTCAGCTTAAAGAATTTCCTTGAAAATTATTCAGGCTTGCTGGTGACAAATCATCTGTTTTTATATATTGAAGATGACTTGCTTTCATCTTTGAAGGATAATTTCACTAGATAGGATTTTGGAATGATATGTTTTTTTGTTTTAAATGACATGTGAAGTTTACTGGTTTTCAGTATTTTACCTGCATCTTTGTTCTCTTACATGTAGTCTTTCTCCGACTCTTTATCTTTGGGTTTCAGCAGTTTTACAATGATCTTCCTATGTATAGTTTACTATGTATTCTGTGGGATTTGTTGAGTTTCTTGGGTCTGTATGTTTATCTTTTGTTAAGTTAGTAAATTTGGACAAATATTGGTCCTTAACATTTTGCTTCTATTGATAGAACTCTAGTAGTAGATTTACATTAGATCACCTGCAATTGCCCCTACCTGTCTCTGAGGCCTTGTTTTTCTCTTAATGTTATTTCTCTGTTGAAATTCCCTATCAGTTTATTAATTATATGCCTATTTCCTTATAAACTCTTAACAGCTGTTTTAAAGTATATGTTAATTAGTACTATGTCCTAATCAGAGCCAATTTAATTGCTTCAGTAAAGGTCGCATATATTTTAGTTATCACATGATAAGTGTGACTTTTTATTTTATATGGATACTACAGATGATATGGACTCTGGATCCTGTCATATTCCACTGAAAAATATTAATTTTTCTGGAAGGCAGCTCATTTGGCTATACAAAACTTCAAACTCTGTCTCCCCCATAGTGGCATACATCTCATTTTTTTTTTTCTTTTCATTTCCCATCTCCTGAAAACCAGGGAGCAAATCAAAAAAGTACTCAGAGTTTAGATGTTGCCTATGTTCCTTTTCCAGGATTCCTTTTCTAAATTTCCCATTCAGTCTATCAACGTCAACTTTGTGCTTGATATCTCAAGTCTCTAAATCCAGCTTTCTGTCACTCCTAGCCCTCTGAAGAATAAGAAGAATAAGGAGTGCTCTCCGCCACCACACCACAATCTCACATATCTTCCCTACAGTTGCCTTCTTTATAACGTAGATATCTTCCAGTTTCTGCCTACTTTTTGTGTAATCTCCAGACCTCCACTGAGTTTTTGGTTTATTCTTTATTATGATTATCTATTAAAAGTTAAATCTGAAAGTGGAGGTTAGCCTGAAAAGAAAATAGGGTGATTTCACCATTAGTAGAAATTTACTAGAATTTTTTTATAGTTAACTTTTAAACCTTCAATTAGGAGTTGTCAAATTTACCTTCATATGGAAGTCATCTAGACTGTTTTCCAACAAGTTGACTTGCTGCCCTCCCTGGTGGTGCCCTCAGAGCGCAGCACTGAGAATCTGAAGCCACTCCTGTGTGAGTTCAATTCCCGCCTGCCCCGGAGGTGACCACATGGCGCCGCAGACCTCTCCTGACCCGCCCACTGCTCCCCTCAGCAGTGTACTTCATAGATCTGCCTGTTCTGTTCCCCACTCTGTCTCTGGTGAAGCTTCTCACCACCCCTGAGCCTCTGGCCTGTACCCCAAGTTCTGTATGCACAAATAAATCTTAAACAAAAAACAACAACAAAAAAACAAGTTGACTTGGGCTCTCCCTGGGGATCTAGTGGTTAAGTCTCCACACTATCACCACAATTGCCTGAATTTGAATCCCCAGCCAGAAAACTAACTCACACAGCACAGCAGACCTCTCCTGTCTTACACCCATTGCTCCCCTCAACAGTTTATTTCAGTACAACTGCCTGCTCTGCTCCCCACACTGTCTTTGGTGAGTCTTCTCACCCCCATCCCACCTATGCTCTATACCCATTTCTTCTATGCACAAGTAAATGAAATCTTCTTTTTAAAAATTCGTTAAAATAAACAAACTGATTTGGGATTAGGCATTTTTAAAAGATCCTTGGTTATGCTAATCTTAAAATAAGCCTGGGAATACCACCCAAAGTAATTCTTCAAAGTAGCCATTGTTTCACTTAGTAGGTAGAACACTGGAAGTTGACAATTATCTCTAGTGGAAGCTGACAATTCTCTCTACATACCTGGAAACTTCTGTTCCTATGTCTTTTTGTGTGGGGTGTTAGACAAGTAAAAGAAATTAATTTGCTATATAGAATTATCACCCAGGCAACTTATCCAATTAAGAATTTAACAAATTTCCTAGTTAACACCAAGCTCATACTGTAGTACACATGTAGTTCATACAGTGTTCGGTGCATATAGTCCATAAAATAAAACAAGTTGCCAACAAATGCAAAAACAGGTAAATATTGGTATCAGAAGCAAAAAGTTCCTCTCTAGAAACTGGCTAGCGAGTAAGAAGTAATGTTTAGCAAAAAAGTTTTAGGTCTCAGGTAGCTAATGAGACTGTCAAGGTTTGACCACTAAAAACAGACTAATGATCTAAGATGAACTTTATGAATCAGAGAATGAAAAAATACCCAGCAAGTGTTTTGTAATAGCTAAAGTAGCACAGCTAATAAATATGGGAAGCACGATGAAGCAATGAATACAATGTAAGCAGTAGAGAGATTTCACTAAATGTCAAGGAAACTGGGTTTTAGAACGAAATGTTTTATAGAACGTACAAGCTTTGAAGTATTGTATGTATAACATAAAAGTGGAATTAAATCCTATGCTGGAAATTTACTGACTTGAAGAAAACATGTATAGACAGACAGATAACTAATGCAGATAAAGAAAATGAAACCAGAGGGTTTCAAAAGAAAAATAGGAAACCTTGCCAGGATGATGACTTTCTTGAATTATTCTAAATCTTTGTCTTAGACCAAAACTTAAGCATGTTCACATTTCACAGGCTTAATAAAATTTATATTAGAACAAATTCTATTTTTCTATTTGTCCCAAATCATAATTTTATTATTTCATATACATTATATGGAAAGAAAATTATTTTTTAAATATTAAATATATATTTAGAATGACTTAA